AACCTGATTAGCACTTATTGCATATATAGCTTATGAAGACTATTCTTTATCTCAGCATTTGTAATTGAAACATATTTATAAATACATTTCTCAAAAATTATTTCAAACGGGCCTGCTTTTGGAATTTCAGTTTTATCATCAGTTTGACGTTTGAGGTTCATGCAAATGCTCTTAAAGATAACTTAATTTAAATCGCTAATCTATAATCGACCTTAATGAAACCTGATGCACTTTATAATCTCTTAGAGAAACACTAACTTCCATTTTGCACCGAGGCAGTTCTTATTGAATATACAAAATCTATGCAAATCGAGGTAAATCGCAGACAACTCGACAGTTAGCGAGGCGCTAAGTGTTAAAATGAAGATATTTTAATTCTGTTATTTCTCTCTTTAAAATGTAAAACGGTCGCACTTATCATAATGTGTTTGCTTTGCCCCAAGCTAGAAGCAGAGCAGAGTGAGGATATTACTTGGTGTTTTCTGTAAATATTTTCAGAGACAACATTTCTTTTGGCTTAAAGCAGCCTCTGTAGGCGTCTTTCTGATGGAATTATAACCGGATTCTCAGCTACGGTTGCGTTATTTATTTTGTGTTTCATTCACCCAGAATTGTAATACAGTCCTTTTCAAAAAGGTCCTCCTACTTACTTGTTGAACTGGTTAAGTTAGTTAGACTATATTTGAACGTAAAAACTGTTTGGAATTTCAAGATGGCATCTGGGCGCTGAAATAGGTTTTCAGTTGGGTTGGGTATCTTCTGGTAAGTATGTTGATCCATTAATCAAGCGGTTGATGATTTAGGTAGATAAAGTTAACAACAGAAAGTGAGGTCAATGCTTTAAACTGAATTTCTTCTACAATCTTCAGGAAAGTGTGTCAGCTTCATTTCTGTCTCGATTGGTTGAAAGGCAAATTTAATCAATATTCTGGCGAAACTTTAGGTACAGCATTATATTTAAAGCTACCAATGCGTGAAAATAGATCAGTGGTGGGCCAACCGAAACTGTAATCCAACTAAATATTCTCTCGCTTTATAAGTAGTCATTTTACGTACTCATTTTAGTGAAACGAGATTGTATGGAGGAAGCTCAATTCCCAAAAAAAAAACAATGAATATCAAATTCATCAAAATACTTGCCCCAAGAATGGCCACCAAGGTCCCCAGACCTCAACAGTTGAGATCTCTTTTTGTGGGGCTATCTTAAGACACTAGTGTCCACAAGTCCCATTAACACTGTAGAAGAATTAAGAGAAAGAATAGTTGCAGCTTGTGATAGAATAAAAAACACTCCAGGGATATTTCAACGAGTGCGCAATTCCCTGAGAAGGAGGGCGGAAGCATGCATACTAAGTGAGCGGTTTTTATTTTTTTACTCAAAAATGGATCATCGAAGGAAAACAATTCAAGAGAGATCATTTGTTATAACTTGAACGGGGAATTCAAAAATAATTTTTATTTTGCAAAAAACCATTGGTGTTCCATTTTTTTCTTAATAAATATCGTAGTCAACACCGACTGTTAAAGCTAAAAATTATTTTTGCATTGAAAAATATGCAACTTTATTAACTTTCACTACGTACTCAGTGAAATATCTGAAGCGGTTCTGAAAATATTAATTAATTTCCATTTTTTTCCTAAAACTTCAACACCTCGAGTTTATGTAAGGAAACATTTTTGAACCATATTTTATAAAATAAACTGACATTAACTTTTTATGTAGATTCACACCCTTAAATATTCGCATATCATTAAGGAACACCCTGTATAATAGCAGAAATCTCCGTATTATGCTCAGCTAGGCATTTGATGGAGATAATGTTTCTTACTGTCCACTTGTTAAAATCGCGAATTAAACAGAATTGTTCATATGTTATACCGTTAATAAATATTTACTTTCGTTTCTTTGCCGTAATTAATGTATGACAGTACGAATAGCTACTTGAATATCCTTTCCAGAGAAAAGAATGTACGCCCATATATTGGTTTGCCACTTTGATAGGTAATGATTTTATCAAATTAGCCAGCCAAACTACACAGTTTTGGGTACAAACAATGCAATGTAAACATATAAGATTAGAAATAAAACCGCTTGGCTTGGCTTGGCTCCGTCTAATCTTTCTATTGTATGCAAGAAAAATATATATTCCATACAGAGAATGGCCCTATAACGCAGAAGCTCACCATACTTTTTAAGAAAATAAACTAAATAGATCACTGAGCTAAGAAATTATCAATTATACGAATATATTAAATCCGTAGGGTAGACACCTTGAAAGGAGACAGATGTTGCGTGAAACGCTAATGAGAGCTAAAGAAAGATCTGGTGCCCCCAAAGCGACAAAGAAATATTTCACGGCAACAAAGGTCGCTACGACGCATCAAGGCAAAGGAACCAACCAATTACCTAAATGCGACTTTGAGAAGGAAGTGAACCGATTTCAGATGATTTATGGTAATTAAGAGATGCTTGATGTTCTGATGGCAACGTGCATGGCCCTAACAACTGCGAAACACCGAGCGCTCTCTGGAGAAAAGGGCAACTCAGGCCAGAATACAGATGCTCATGTTCGACGGATGTATACCATTCCAAAGATATGTAAGATCTGTTGTCCATATTTAAGGGGAGCGTTTAAATAAATACAGTATGTTACAACGAGCATTACAGAGCCAGTGCATGACGAAGAGGAGAAACTGCACATCTTAACCGTGTATCGAGATTGTGGAACAGTTTTCCTGAGGAGGCACCAAGCTCAAACGACCCTCGCACTCAAAAGCCTCAACACGAAGGATGGCGCCGAATAAGTAACAATTTTAAAAAAAGATATCTTGATAGGAAACCAAATATTCTTATAATAGGTTAGTACGAAGAGAAACCACAGAGTGGCGCTGATTGCCAATGGGCGGACCCTAGAAAACCAACTCTACGAGGGACCAATGATATTTTGTAAGGAAATTTCTGAGATAGTCGTTATAAAATACTATAACATTAGATTTCAACACAATACTGAGTCGCTGAGAAAGAAATATACTCGTATAATACAGGGTGACCCATCCATGTGTGGACGGAATATTACTTATAAACAAATACATTTTGACTCAAAACGTTCTCGTAATATGGAAAATGTTTCCGGCCTTGGATGTCGCATATTAAGGTACCGTTGCTTATAAATGCGAGATGCTAGAAAACTATCTCTTTGGGCTTCGCCCAAAACGAACACCATATTCACCATTTCTTTAGAAAAAATCATTTTCAAATACTTTTTTATTATAATGCCAACAAAGCTAATTTTGACAGTTTGTAACTAATCAACAATTTATTTATTTCCAATGATGATGTGTTATTTTAGGGAATTAAGCCGATCCATAAAAGACGTGCTGATAACCGAAAAAATAGCCATAAAATCGGTCTAGTATCATAAAAAAGCTTATAAAAAATTGAATCCGAACTTGCACAAATATACAGGGTGATGCATTTGAAATTTGTAAGAAAAACTACAATTTGCGTTTTTGACCACCCTGTACGAGCAAAAATTGAAACTTGAAAAAGTAACAAATAAGGTAAAAGTTTTTTTTATACAAAATTCAGCACTCCAAATGTCAAAATGGAGGACTCAGGGGTTGCCGAAGTGAGGGTTTTTTCTAGACAAAACTCCTTATATCTCAGTAGCTAATTACCAAAACCCCATAGTATGTTACATCAATCTTCTCCTTTGGTTTATTCAAATATGCAATAAAATTTGAAGCATTCCATATGAAAAATCACAACTTTGAAATGTAGGTCGATGGATGGGCCACCCTGTACATGTGAAATCATACAATCAATAAACTATGAGATTTGCCAAAAGAAAATCAATAAAAATGGTTTGGCCTAGGAATCGGCATTCTACCATTAATAAACAGAAATTCAAATTACTGGCAAGTGATCAAAACAGTAAAAAAACGTGTTACGTGATTTTGGCATATTACACTATAAATTCCCTTCAAGTTTACCCTTGTACAAAAAATCCTACAAAGCGCTAAACTCCATGAACCATAGCGTTGCATCGCAAAAACACAATAGTTAAAATATCCCTTCAATAGGAACGTTTCGTATCTCTTTAAACAGGCCGCAAAACCGGCACGAGAGAGAAACTTTCATTAGCTCACGTTAATTAACTGGCAGAATATAGAGGGAAGAGAGTTTTAGCGGAGCAGCTACAGGTCCCGCGGGAGTGGAAAAATTCACCCGCACTCTCGGATTTCGGTTCTGCTGCCGGAACCTTTAAATATGCATGAGATTTCGTCAGCTTCGGGCGAGGAACATCCTACTCGTGTCGTTCACACCCACATGTCCCTAAGCGTCGTTACTCTCCCACTTAATGCTACGATTAACTAAGAGACTCGGAATTAGCAACGTCTTGTCGTTTGGAATCCATTAAGACATTTGGAATAATTGTCAAAAAGTAGCATTCATGTGTTTCATGGAATTCTTATAAAAAATCTCAAGAGAAATAGAAGCTTTGAAGTAATTAACACATTCACCTCCGAGTTGTGTCACTCACTGGTCACTGGTCACTAAGACTGAATATTATCCTAATGATGCCGTGTCAGACATCAGGACTGCATACCTACTTTTAACTTGATATTGAACGCTGTCGGTCATGAGTTCTGTGTTAAATTATACGCAGATCGCATCGAAATAAATAAAATCTTCATGTCCTTGAGTTTCTTAGGCTGGCGGTCAACGTAGTAATAGTAAAGAGGCATGTGATCAGATATCAAATTGGTGCACAATACTAGCACACAACATTGCAAATATTTCTCCAAATACGAGGGATGTCTTTTAAGTTTTGCATATAGAAACATAGAAGGCCGCGCGGATCGAAGGTCAGTACTGAATCTTAACCTCACTCTTTAGTAAACTTAATTTCAAAGTTTCACAACAATACGTGCAATGTTCTCACTACAGTGAATTTTTGAGTGTCACCAAGTCATTAGAAAAATGGAACGCAACCGAGAACATTTTCGCGCAAACAAGAATGCCTTGCCGAGTTACTGTCTGTTTTCGGCAACGAAGCGCCACATCAGTCGACAATTTCCCGTTGGTATGGAGAATTCAAACGTGGACGGGTGAGTCTTAGCGACGATCCCAGGCTGGGTGCACCAAAAACGGCAGTCACCTAGGAAAACGTCGACGCTTTGCGAAAACTCATCATTGAAGATAGACATGTGACATATCGCGAGATTGAGGCGTCCTGGAAGATCTAAAAGACCTCAATTCAAAAAAATTTACATGAAGAATTAGGAGTAAGAAAATTAGTTTCTCGTTAGATACCCCACCTATTGACTGAAGAGCAGAAAGCAGCCAGGGTTAATTGGTGTCAAAAAAACGCTTGACCGTTTCAATTTCGGAAACTCAAAAAATGTGTACAGCATTGTTAGTGGTGATGAATCGTGGATTTACTGTTATGAACCAGAAAATAAACGACAGTCGGCTGTTTGGGTGTTCCAAGGTGAAAAAAAGCCAACAAAAGTAATTCGTTCTCGAAGTGTTTCGAAAAAGATGGTCGCGGCATTTGTGTCAAAAGCGGGTCATATTGTAACAATTCCTCTTAATGAGCAAAGTACTGTTACTGCGGATTGGTTTACCACCATTTTTTTGCCAAAAGTCATCATCAAGCTTCGGAAAATCAACCACGAAAGAAGAATCATCCTCCACCAAGACAATGCAAGCTCGCACACAGCCCAAAAAACAAGGCAGTATTTAACGGAAGAAAACGTGAAATTATTGGACCATCCTCCATATAGTCCCGATCTAAGTTCTAACGGTTTCTTTACTTTCCCGAAAATTAAAAACAGACTGCGTGGTCAAAGGTTCCAGTCACCAGAAGAAGCAGTTGACGCATTCAAAAATGCCGTTTTGGATCTGCCAGCGAATGTGTATTAGTCTTCGTGGAGAATACTTCGAAAAACAATAAAGTCATTTAAAACTACCTGCTGTGTTGTTTTATTTCCATATGCAAAACTTAAAAGACATCCCTCGTACGTTTAAAAATTTTCAGCTCCATAACACTATTGTCCGGATACGTTTAAACTAAAATGCAGAAGTGACCACTTCAGTTGTAGTGTGACCATTTGATGTTGAAAAGGAGTCACTAGGAAAGTTTGGAAATGTTAGTTTTTAACTTCTTCTGTATTCTCTCTAAATTTTCAGTTGGCCACCCTGTACATCTGCCAATCTTTGCACCGTAACTTGAAAGTATTGCTCGGATCTGGATAAAATTTCACACAAGGTTTCTACTATTGTAACTATAGTTTAATTTATCTTAGAGCTACACTCCTCAAAAATCTAGAAATGGATACGTTGTATAAAAGTATAAACATATTTTTCCATTATGGTGGCTTAAACGGCAAAGATATACTTAGTAGCAAGGCAAAAATTTCGAGAGAGCTCAAGGATTTTATTCTTTAATTCTGTTTAGTTTGTCATTAGAATAAGTGGTAACAGAGGTATTCAAAGAAAATGTTATTTGGCATCATTCCCCGGTATGGCTATTTATTTTTTTTAAAACGCTTTTATTAGCTTGGACTGTATGTATGTATCAATGTAACGGAGCATAATTTTCATCAATTTCCAGAAGTTTGATTAGTTTGAAACTTCGCTCACGTATCAAGGACCGATGACAGTGCAATAATTTGATAACAATTGAAGAAACTCTTTGTAATTTAAAATTATTTTCTACTTTTTAGGTAGATTGGCTATAAAAGCGTGTTTTTTAGTTTTTTTAAAATATTATTTATTTAAAGTTATAACTGTGCATTTATTCCATTTCAGGTGGTGAAATTAGTTTTTTAAAAAATGTATCTCTTAGGCTTTTCATCTTTGTTGTTAGTGTAAAATTTGAAACTGTTTATCAATTGAGACTTTAATCCATCGACAAAGCCCAGTACATTTCGTGGAAATATTGTTTCATCCGAAGAGCAAGCAACGACGTAGTAAAGTAGAAAATACATTTCATCGAAAAAACAAAGAGATAATCAACAACAAACTCCTACAGCAACAATCAATCAGCTCGAAAACTAATCAAAGTAGCATCCATCTTCCATCCTGAAGCGGAATGAGGAGGAAAGTGCCCTCTAGGCGATGGTAGAAAAGGACATTTACCCCTTTTGTTTCCGGCAGAACAGCGGGAAGATTGACAGCAATGGAATTGGCTGGCCATCGATATGCATTAAAGTGTGAAGGGTGGAAGCGAATTGCGCTCAAGGGGTTGCTTTTAAAGAATTAGCCGGCTGCGGCACTGCTACTGCTCTGCTGCAAACGGTCGCTTTGCTGTTGGATCAGGCACAGATACGCAGTGGCGGATCTAGAATGCCTAAGATCCGATCCTAGAGGTGGTACCTACTTGCATTTGGTTACAGTTTGCAAAAATTGTTGTGTCTTCAAGTATTTTATTTACTCAGTTTCTGTTTGAAAATGCCTGAAACAAGAGCAAGAGCAAGATTTTACTAAGTGCAAAGCAAAACCTGAAAGCACACCTTTGCTCGAAATTGATGACACGCATTTTTAGAACACAATAGGAAAAACTGTTTCACAAAAAATCGCTACAGACAACGAAATGACTCGAGCGAGTTCAAACTTGTACTAAACGCGGATCACATGTTCTCCTATCTCTATTCGAAGCCCGGCGCCTCCAGTGTTGCCAGATCGTACGCTACGCTGCCAGACTCATTACTTAATTTACAGACCTCGTGTGTGTACCTAACCTTTGAGCTATTAGCTGGACAGTTCTTCTTCATGTTTCTGTGAGTGCTCAGCCCGAATCTAAGATTTATTAACTGGTTTTTATACCTAACAGCATTGAAAAACTAAAAGTATTGGAGACAAACCAAAAATGTTGATAGGTGCTAAATGTCCAACTGTAACTTTAACTTTGAGTCTTATTTACTTTAGTCTTGAGAATCTAAATACGTTGTCATTTTATTGCCCCGAGATTCTAATGAGGAAGCTGAGCAGGTCCCAAAAAACCACGAATACCGAATTAAATAAAAAGTTCTAAATATTTTTATTAGATAAATACAGCTTCAATTAAATAATAGCTGTAATTTCCATATTATGCTAAACTACGTATTTGCTTCGGATCACAACAACTAATTAGGAAAACTGAGCAGATTCAATCAAGGTGTCCCGGTATTTCCAAAATAATAATCCGTTGATAAATATTTACTTTCGTTTTTCTTTGCCTTACTAAGTTTACCCCTGTTTATTCACAACAACTGAGCGATTCGCGATCCTGTCCTGCTAAACGTGAGTACACTCGCTACGACTTTTTGTATAACATATCTTTCCAGAGAAAACATACGAAAAAGTATGCACTATCCGAATTTGTTGGTTTGAATGAACATCGGCTAGTCACAGAGAAAATTATGATATTTTATCGTATTATTTCCATTTTCGTTAGAGGCAAATTTATACATGGTGACTTCGAAGCAGAGTCATTTATTTTAACAGTGAGTAGATCTGATCAAAAGAAATGTTTTTTTCCTTTAACATTTTTGTGGTAAAATTAAAGTAACAAAGTTATAGCCTTTTAGAAGTTTGAGTACCGCCCTGTCTCAATAATAATATTATGTGCTCGTGTTTGGCAACAACGGATATAATCCGCCTTATCGGTTCATCGCATCGGAAACAACAAAAAAGCGAAAGAATTTGAAACGCTTATAACGATGTTTTTACTACAATTTTATTCAGTTGTATTCAGTCAATGTGTCAGTCGGTAACGCGTGCGTGAATAGTGGTGTTTGTTGCGTGGCTCAAACGAAATAAAAAATGGCACATGTTTACGAAAATGCTGAACTTGTGGACATGATTCTTATTTACGGGGGGGGAGTCTTTACAAAATGCTGCCGCGGCATCACGGATTTATGCGGATTGGTTTCCCAATCGAGTGCAACCAACCCCTCGTGCCTTTGTTAATGTAGTACAAAGGGCTCGTGAATCAGGTGACTTAAGACCTCACAGGGGAGGGCATGCCGGTTCTCAAAGACCGCACGATCAAATACAGGTCCGCACTGAAATACTTGTCGGGAGGATACTTTATAAAACAAGGTAACATTTTTTTTATTTTTTTTTATTTTTACACACATATTTTGGTTTATCTTCCTTCTACAATCATTATCTGAAAATTAATGACTCAACTTCAAAGTCACCCTGTAGAAATGACAACTGATGAACATTTTTGAAATTCCTGGGTCGATCAACATTGATATGATAAATACTATATAATATAAAAGCCAAGATTTTTTTTGTCGAATGGGATTATTTTTTCCTTGCTTTTTATCACGTGTCTATCAAATTCAAAGTAGCCTTAATCCCCTTCGAGATTAGAAACCCTCTTCAATACACCTTGTTTCCTTGAAACCTGTTAAGTGATAAAGTTCGTATTAGAATTACTGAAGAACAACATAAATACCTTAGGATAGGCACGCATACCCTCAGAAACTCGCTCTACTGCTTGGGAAGTCGTTGCAATGGCAGCAAGGTCCAATTTTGTTCTCGCTAGGCGTTGCTAGTGTCGTTGAAGATCAAACTGTAAAGTAGATGGGAAAAAGACATTTGATAGAAAGGTATCCTATTTTTAATGATACTTCATCATTCATGTTTATTGGAACAGCTGAACTAGCGTCATCTACCTCTAACCTTCCAAATTATTTCTCACTGGGTTAATACCCACCAATTTTTTGTGGACGTCACTGGAATTAGAATAGAATTACCTCACTCAGGTTTGCCGTGCAGCAATGTAACAGAAGTTTAGCGAAGAGCTTTGTAAATGTCGAGGAAAATTGCCACCGCCGTAGCTAGTTTAAGGTGAGTTATACAGGCTATGCAACGAGTTATTTTACCTAATCTGCAAAGTACAAATGCTTCTTTCCTAGTTTATGAGAGTCGACGTTGTGTGTACTGTGCTGAATTTACAGTACCATTTTGTTGGAACAGTGTGATAATGTCAACAAAAACACTGTTATAACATACTACAGCGTAAGAATGATTTGTTGTTATCTTATAAGTAAATCAATGTAAAGAAACGCCACCAGTCTACATTATATTGGAGATCAACAAAAGGTAAATTTCCACGCTCATCCCAAGCAGGTTTTCAAGCTGACAATGACAAGCATACATGTGGAAGTCGTATACACCTATGTTGAGGAGAACATTTCCAAGGCGTTGAGACAAATCAATAAAACGTATCTCTGTGAGCTTTCGCAAACAAGATATATATTCATGCATCACTTTCATGTTTCCAAATGTCAAAGACCTAAGTTGACTTTAATCCATCTGGCACGATACGGAATTTTGTACATTGGCTGCTAGAAGCGCTAAGTGACAAGGAATTACATGATTTGTGTTAACTCCTTGATACCCTCTTGATGTTTTGTGTCTACCCTCAAACACTTTCATCAGTTGTGTTCATCAGTATCGCGAAACTCCCCTACTTATGCTGTTTTACTGGTAGATTGAGAAACTTGAAAGATGTTACAGTCAACAGAGGAGTGTGACATACTACTAAACGAATAAGAGAAATATGGTTGTTTATATGCTGTACAAAGCGAAGCCTATAAAAACAGAAACGACAAATAAGCTGTGTTGGATAAATTCAGAATGAATTTATAGCCAATTAGGCCTATGTATAAGCCAGTGGACTCTCCACTTCAAGTTCTTTATCCAGCATATACCAAATTCTTTTACGCTTTCGTTTACTTCGTTTGTAGGGCAACTACAATGCAGATCGTCGCAGTCGCATATAATATGTGCTAATTACGAGCTCGCTCCATTTTCTACAATTTTCTATTCGTTCAAAGTGATAAAGGAATAAAGTAGCAAGCCGCAACGTAAAATGTGGGTATAATGACTTTGTCTTGAAAAATGGCAGTTCGAGGTTGACGGCTATAGTATAGTATAGTATGATTTCGTACGAAATTTATTACAAAAATTTCTCTACGCGATGGACGGGATCGTAATTGGTAAATAAATCGGAAACTTAATTCAGTAACGCATTTTTTCACAAAATTTGGTACCGAATTAGGAACAGAATGTTGTATCGTGACAGACGGCCTTGATTAATAAATAAATGAAAAGTGGGCCTTAAAGCAAAACACTTTTTGATAGAATTTTAAAATCTGATTTCCTTTAACATTTCGCTAAATCTCTTATTTTGTTCTAGGTAAGTACGAAGATGAACTGCCATCATTTTACTTCAGTCATGTAAGTTTAGTAAAATATTTTACCTGATCGTTTAAACCAATGCAGCATTATAGCCTTTACTGGCATGATTTTCTGTTTTTTTCTTGTTATTTTTTCCGTTTATTTGTTTTTCGCAGCTGACCTAAGGGGTTGTTTGTTATCGCTTGAGACGTGTTTTGTGACTAATTTGATAACCCTGAACAAAGGAAAAAATAATCGCCGAAACGTTGGCAACTTGGAAAAGGACACTTTTCAACAAATACATATTCGATAATCCGTAGAAATTAATGGAGATATTGAATTTGATATGGAAGTTTTGAAGTCTTCCGTCGCAGGTAAAAAAAGATCAACCTATGGCAGAAGTTTTCTCGCTAAATGGATGAAATTTCAAATTAAAGTGACACCTTTCACAATTTTCCAGTAGGAAGATACTTAATCCATCTAGACATTTATTTCTTTTTCCTATGCAAGCTTCGAGAGCTTCACCATTTTTTGCCTAATAATAAAATTATAAATGAAATCAATTAACCTTCCTGCCCCATACAATCCACGGATACGCTTCTATTCGATGTTAATTTCCTTTCATGTCTGCCACCTGTGAATTTAGCGAAATGGACTCTTCTAATCCATTTTCAATTATTGCAGGACTTATTAACCTACATTATCTCAAGATACGAGTGTTCCATCAAAGACGTAATTGCGCAGAGTAACATGGGATTTGATTAAAAAATTAACGCTGGATATGAAATGCAATTTGCCAGACTGGCCTCTCGTTTAAATGCACAAATTATTTCTGTTGAATTGCACGTTATATTTCCAAGTAGAAATAAATTGGATTCGCTATACTAGTGAATGTTAAATGTTTTTCATGATAAATGATGCTCCTGTATCTGACTAGAGCAACAACGTTGAAATAAATGGTTACTAAATGGATTTTTATTGTACTGGAAGTGGTACATTGTTATACGAAGAGTTTTTTGAACTGTTTTTTAAACTGAATCTGTCTTGTGATAATAGTAAATAATTATAGAGCGTTTGAAATACCAAACGTGATTCTTGGTGGTACATGAGGCGTATTTTAGGTTCATTTTTCTTCAGTTCGTTCCAGGAAATCAAAAACGGTCAACGGACTATAAAGTTACTTGAAACTCAAGTATTAAGTAGATTGACTCAGTGCTCTTCACGTACTGATATGGATTTAAAAATTTAAGTATCTAAAACACCTTATAGGTATATGTAAAATGTAAAAAACACCAGTTTCCAAATAATAATAATAAATCATCTTTATTAGAGAGCCTCAAATTTACTTACTTCCATGGATATATCTGTCGGTCTGTCTTTAAGTTTGTCTGTCGGTCTGTCCGCAAATCCTTGGTCTATAACTTGAAAATAACTGCTTGGATTTGGATTAAATGTTCACTCAAAGTTACTACTATGCCAAGGATGAACAAGCTTTGTAGATTTTAGAAATCAGTACAGTGTATGGATATATCTGTCGGTCTGTCTTTAAGTTTGTCTGTCGGTCTGTCCGCAAATCCTTGGTCTATAACTTGAAAAGAACTGCTTGGATTTGGATTAAATGTTCACTCAAAGTTACTACTATGCCAAGGATGAACAAGCTTTGTAGATTTTAGAAATCAGTACAGTGGTGGCGAAGCTACGAGCTAACACAAAAAACAGTAAAGTTGGCTTAAAAATCGTTTTTTGACGTTCCAGAGGCTCCTGATCATTTTATGAAAAAACTGTTAGGAGTTAAAAATTGTGAGTTTTGGTTGTAGATTAAAGTCTAACTCAATTTTTTGTCTAGTCACCTAATAGTGCATATTTCATACATCATAGATTTTACCGTGCATTTGTCTTATGTTTGGGTCTGTTTGGCTCATTACATTTAATCTTTTTTTGTGTTATATACGTTCGTTCTTTCCTTATAATAATAATCCTTTATGAGCTGATAACAGCGTTGCGTGGCAAGTGCGGAGTCAACCTACTTGACGTAATTCTTACTACGCTAGAAAACGTCAAAAACGAAGCACGTACAAAGATCCAGGAAATCGACAAACATTGAAACATTGAAAATTGATCGGGATTTTATAAAATCTTTAGCCACTGTACCGTTTAAAAACACACACTGCTCTTGAATTTTTGCATCATAGTAAATTCTTGTTTAGGTCAACTGTATATCTCAGAAACTGTTACCTATTTTAAATTGTGGTTTGTTTGGCATTAGGTCTGTAACTAAACCGAACATAGTCTAATTGTTAAATTATTTGTGTCCGTAAATATATTTATTTGACTACCCGAACGAGGCGGAAAAGTAGTTAACTACATTACAGGGGAGGTTTTAGTTTCAGTCGGGACTATGAAAAGTGAAAATGTAGGTGTCGTGTTTTTAAAATAATTGGCTGGAAATTTAGAGATTTCGAACTAGAAGGAAAATATCAAAAACCCAATGTTACATTGAACCACTAACATAAAACAAATTTCCATTTAAGCAATCGTTTCTTGTAGGCACTGCAGTTTGTTCTTTCTCTGTTCTGTCATCGCACCGGCCCCTATGAATGAGTTATCGCTGTTAAAGGTCCCCTCCTATTGGGCCGAATCCTCAAAACGACCCGATTCTAATGTCCCTTGCCGTTGTCCTGGTGTCCTGGGGCGACAAGTGCATAAAAATTCAGGCTCGTGTATCTCGAAATGTCATCGACTGTATAAAAACCGCTACCCGCTGAGATATGGGCTATAAATGCGCTTTGGAAAAATGCGGGACTTTGGTGTTCCAAGTTATTTATTGACAGTAAATGTTTCTGTTTAATTTATGGAAACAGGTATGTGTGGACGATATTATTATAGGATTTCTTATGATTTTTATTTGTTTGGTTTGGTGAGAGTATTTTCAATTTGTCTTTTGTGGTATGGCGATGTCGTCAATGATTTAAGATAATAAATAACAGATGACATATCAACAACTTTCCATCAAAATCTCAGTAGGATTTCTTCTTCTTTAACTCCTCTAAAGGCCACCGCTAGCCCTTTTTTGCTAATTATTTCTTGTTTTAGTCAATTATGGATACATACAGGGTGTAAATTTATGACTGGATCATTTGAAGCCAGGAAAAAGAAAATATCGAGACATTATCTTACGCCCTTTGGATTTCCTGGCTATATCGCAGAATATCAACTTATAGATATTTTTTGAGAGACTTAACAAGTCTAGAACGTCATAGTTGGAACACATCATAGTATAACTAGAGTAGATAGCCTTAGGTAACTATTCGCTTTAAATTAATATGTGTCTATGCATGTAAACAAAGGGAATAAGTGCACCACCAACCCATTACGTCGAAAATATACGATTTCCCGACATATTCCATAGAGAACAAAGCTTCTGTAAACGGCGTCGTCTCTAACGACACTCTAATGAGCCCATAAAACGTTCTGGTTATGTTTCCATTTGAATAATTTAGTAAACCTCTTAAATATAATATTCAGCAATCTCTAGAATCGTTATATCCTGGCTAATATCTCCGGTAAACATAAATTTCAGAACGTTTACGAATTATACTGAGATACAGGACCGGCACGAATCAACTTTCTTCCATTCAAAAAGTCGATTCATCTCCGTTGTCTGAACGGGTCGTATCAACTCACCATTCAAATTATAGTATAGATATCGCGCATTGTGATTTTCAACTTGGCACAAATGTAAAATGAAATTTGTGATACTGCGTGTTAGAAGGACCTGTTTTGGGAACTTAGGATTCAAATAAGCGTAACAGCTATTGCAGCTGGGGAACGTCGTCTTCAAAAAGTTAAGGTTTGATACAATGGCTATAAGTATATAGAATACTTACGTACCATTGTTAATTTTGTGAGGACATCTACCGACAGCAGTGATGTTGAATTATTGAGCGCAATAATACATAGACACACAATTGAAGAAAAAATCTACGGGTGATGAAGCACTTACATGCAGTTTGGTGAAGCAATTGTTCGATGTAATTGG